AAAAAAAAAAAAAAGTCACCTGATCTATGTAAATATATTTACAAGAAACACTTGCAGACATTGGCAGGCCTTTAAAAATGAAGTTACTGATATTGAAAAGCTATGCACAGCAATGCCCTTCAAAATTTACTTCAAAACATGTACCTTTTTGTAGAATTGTATCACAATATTAGCTGCAAGTGCCACTTAAGTTTTCATTATTTGCACACCTGTTTGGTGCCATAAAATTGGTGTATGGGAACAGTGCCTCCATTTATGTCTTGACTACTCTAATTCCTGTTCTTCTGTCTCCTGCACATTATGCAACATGTGCACAACTCAAAGCACTTTTGTCTGTACCTTTAGGAGGACCATTTCAATTCAGAACTTCTAAATGCACTGTCAGCTCAGTCCACTGCAGACTTTAAATTCATCAAGAAAACTATATTAGGAATTTATTATTCAGCGATTTTTGTTTCTTTGTTAAATTAGGCATGTTTATTAGTACATACAGAACAGTTATTTGAAAGCAGAATTATTCACTTAAGAAGTATTAGCAAGTCCAAATCATCTTTTGATCTGATGACAACATATGCAGGATCCTATCTGTCAGGACCTTATTATGAAACAGTAATTTTTTAAAAAATCCATATAAATAAAGGCTCATATTTACTGTTTGGATTCCACATGTCACCTTTTATAAACGGTTTCACAAGAGGTAAAGACTTTCTATATAATTTCTTAATCTTTAAAAATAGTTTACAATTCATTTCATACTGTCTTCATTTCTTCTTTTCTCACTATTATTTCCATCTATGCCAGTGGCTTAAAGAGAACAGATAAACCTAGCTTCTTCCAAGACTTGAAATTTCCCATTTTAAGATCTTTAAAAGGTCACTTACATTTTGCAGCAGTAAATATTTACTATGCAACTCACTATTAGTGTAATCAATCTAGCTTTGCAATGATTAAAGCAAACACTACTCACTTGCTATTTACACTGGACACAGAATCTTCATATCTAGGTACAAGACTTGCTTCACGATGTAGCAATAAAATTCTCTACTGTTTGATTTGCTAAGTACAGTAAAAGCCATATACATATATGTATGTATGCCAGCTTAAATTTCAACAAAAAAGCACAAAACAGCTTATCTTTTTTATGAACTTCTTGTGTACTCTCTCATAGTGTGACAACTTCCACATTAAAAAATAATAAAAACCCCAAATCAAAAGCAGTAATAAAGGCATTTATAAAGTTAATTTAGAGCAGGAGCTGGTTACACCAATGCTTCAGGGTCTTTATTATCTGCCACTATTTTCCTTTAAGTGCGAAGAGAACAATTTTAAACCCATATAGCTTTAAATGGTTTGTAATCTAGCTACCCGAAAGATTACTGCTTTTTACAAACAGCTACAGTTAAGACAAACAGATTTCTTAAGCCAGAGACCCATCATTTAGGATGGAAAGAGGTCACAGGCAGGACACACCCTATTAGATTATCTCCTACTTTAGAAATTCATCATTCCTAGTGGCTATATGGAAATCATTATTAGGATTTTCTGTAGACATCAATTTAAGAAGCCTTTGCTTAATGGCTGCCAGGTGATATCAAGTCTGCTAAAACAATGTTTATTAATTCAAATCAGATTTTTTTAAAAATATATCTAACCAAGTCATATTAGTAACTTTTTTTTTTAGGATCTACTTATATGTAAATCATCTTAACAGCTCTGAAGAAATTCTTTTTTTCAGAAAAGGACTTCCTGAGAGACATGTGAATAGAAGTCATTTCTGCATTGCTTTAAACATAGCAAGATTAATAACTGAAATATTTCCTAAACATCAGTTTAATAATGTCCTCCTCTCCTGCAAGCATGTTCATAACTGAAGTCTGACAAATAATTTCAGTGTCCCCACAAAGGCCATGGCTGTGAAGGAAGCAGCCAACACTCAAAATAGCAGCATCCAGTTCCAAAACAATCTTCAAATCTCAGGGGATATACCTTGGACAAGAAGAGGTCTTTGCAGTGAGGGGATTGCAAATATTAAGGTCATTAAGGTCACAATTATCTCAAAACAGGATAGGAAACCATATTTTGGCTATATGCTGCACTAATTTGAAGATAAATTATTTCAAGAATAGCTTATTAGGAACTAAAAACCTGCCCTCAATTTAACTTTGATATAGCTGTCCCTGTGATAAAAGACACAGATTAGCAACAGCTGCTTTAAGTCTTCTCATAAGTAAATTTGGGAGGCCTGACCAGAATGAGAATAGGTCAGAGTACAGACAGTACTTCATTTTCAGTCTTGGTTTCAACCTAAGATTTGCCTTGCTGCTGGATGCATCATCTGTTTAAAGCAGCTGAGATATGGCATATTCTCTGAAGCTTAACCTCCTAGAAGGACATTGCTTAATGCTTTTTTTCAGATTGTTAATAATATCTATAATTAGATTTGCCCACTGGTAAGTTGATGGGGTTTCCAATGAAAAACTACTTTCCCTTAGCTAGCAGTAAACTAACATAGGGATGAACTATAACAAAAGCTTCTGAAGCTGCTGAAACCCCTGATTTTAGTACTATGGTTCTGGAATTAAGTCTTACACACGCAGGCAACTTGCATTTTAAAGCATCAGGGACAGAACGCTCCAACTTCTCATCAGGAGAAGCCTCTGCTGATTCCAACTACCTCATCCATCTTATGAGATGCTTGTTAAACTTTCAGACACTTAAACATCAAGGAGATGTTTATCTACAAAATTATTTTCAGACAGACCACAGGAGAAATTGGCAGGACTGGCATCACTAAAGGTGGCTCTTTCATTGTGAGAGTCAACCTCAACTGTGCACTATTCAGAAATCAAATACTTTGAAATAGTCCGAAATAGTCCAAAATAGATAAATACATCACAATCTATATAAATGTGAAATCATTCTTTTACATTTGCTGAGAACATTGTTTGAAATTCAAAGAAAAAACAATGAAAAAAGTTTTCTGCAGTTTCCTACACCAATCGTCTTTAAAGTAGGGTCTTGTATAGACCCACACTTGACAACTCACAACATATCATTTTACTTTCCAAGGGGTCTCCTGCCAATAATATTTGAAATGCTAAAATAACTTAAAAAAAATGAAAATGTACTTTCATTCCATTGCCTTCTCATTTGTAAGTCTATATAAAAGTTCTACTATTCCTCAAAAAGGTAAGTTACATGGTATCTTTAATGATTTCCTGCAGCGCTAATGGTCAGCAATATTTATGCAAGAATGAAATGCATTAGTCACATGCACTTTTGTATAACAAAAAACAGAAAACACAAAAGAGACAAAACCCTGGAAGATTATTCTTTAAATGACTTCACATACAATCTACAGTCTTAATTAAAAATAAATAAATAAAACAGAAAACAAAGAAAAAACTCCAAATCCCAAAACCAATATGCCATCACCTAAATATGTAGCTGTTTCACCACAGAACTAGCAAAGCTTCATTGCTTGATTGGATTTTTACTTTGAATAGTTCCTGCACAGCTTTTGTATTCAACAAGCGTGGTAAACAAGCAATTTTGCTTAGAAATCTAAATAGTGCCTACTAGCCCTCAACATGCTTCAGACTTGCTCAGCAGAGCCCGTTCCCAAAGCACCCTGGCTGCGGACACCTTCCAAGCCCTCCTACCTGCGACTCCTCAGGGCTGCTGTGACTGTCAGCTTACACACTGCTTCAGATGTACGAATCCGCTGCTTTAGCCAATTTCTGATTTTACTGTGCAAATAACGCAGATTCCAAAATAAAAATCAACAAGCCGGCAATCACAGTAGCTTTGTTCTTCACTTGCAAAGAACTTTGAAATGCTTTCTTGCCATAAATCTCCTGCAACATTTAGTCCGTCAAAAAAATCTGACTAATCAAAAGCACTTGTCTGCAAACAAAAGCATTTTTTAGAATGGAAAGCCAGAAACACTGTCAATAAAAACTTTATTAAAAGTTATAATTGGGTAAACCGTTCTGGAATTGTACTCAGTATTTTGGAAACAGTGACCAAATACACAAATCAATATGACACAATTAGTCTACCTTCCCATCTGCATCATAACTACATTTATTTTTCACTTGTAGCTGTTTATATTTACTAACTGAGAATGAATCCAAAACATCACCAAGAACTGACCTACACTTAATTAATTCCTCATTATTATAGTTTTAATCTGAAATCTGGATACTCTGTAACATACCTATTGACTCAAATATAATTGTCTGAATATTACTTTCTGGTTAATATCTGCAGTTTTTATTTCAGCATGACCTAGCTGAAATCACTCCATAGCTATTTCAAAATACTTAGATAACTGCTACTGTTACAAAAATGTCAAAACAACTTACATATCTTTCACATTGTAAGGCAGAATAAATACAAGTTGACACAACAAGAGTTATTGTATTTAAAATGACATTGTAATTTACAGTTTCCAGAGGATAAGGGATAAATGCATGTTTTTTGGTTTCTTTTGAAAATTTAAATAACCAGGAGGTAAACTAGCCAATCAACAACTGAATATAGGAAAATAAGATTATGTTTATGACTGGTATTACACCTTAGCTTATTCTATAATTTTCCCTGATCATATAATATTAAGTATATTCTCCAATTATGCCTGTAAAACAAATTAGGTTCAATTTCATTGACAAAATTCTCATTATAGTTTTGAATTTAGCTATTCATGGCATTGACCAACACTTAAAGCATGCAACTTCTAAAATATTGCTTTTGTCTATGCCATAGATAGAGAAAAAATGTTAAAAATTGTTAAAAATAAATTGTAAAATTTTGGAAAAATTAAAGCATCCACACTTCTCAAGATTAAATATAACTAACATCTGCTACAGAAACTGCTTGGTACTTGGTACAGTTTTTCTACAGTCCCTACTATTCCTACTCAACTTTGAAATTTTATTTAATTACAACTCCAAGGGGTGCTTTAACAATCATTAGAGAAAAGCAATATGTTATTTAAAAGAACACTTACGTTCTTTTACATTTCAACCACTGTTCATTCATCTTATGATACACATAAGAGGTAAGGCAATACCTGCACTTAATGCCCCTGGTTCTACAAAAACATTTACCAAATGCTCATATTGTTCAACACACACGGTAAAAATATTAAAAATGCTCTTTTTGAAATGAAAATGGTCCTATGATGATTCAAGCATTTTATTTTCATTTCACATTTCACTAGTGAGAACAGAGGCATGGCAAAACATTTAAGAAAGAACCCTCTCCCCCCCACACACATACCCCCTCTATTTTATCATCTTCAAAATTCATGGAGTTCCTACTTTGCAAGTGCGAAGTAGGTTCGCTTGCAAAGGTTCCTACTTTGCACTTGCAGCAAAGGACATCATTTTTCCAGGAACAAAATACCCGCGGTAGTATTTGACGGTCTCCTTCAGCTAATCAAAATACTTTTTTTGTAATTTAGTTTTTTTATTTTATTAAATAAGTTCAGTACAGACATACACCAAGCTCTTGGTTTGATTCCTTCCCTCCCTCCTGCTTCCCCTCTCCAAAACGTACATAAGCTGTGCACATTTATCAAAATTATTGGATTCAATATTTCATGTAGACTCAAAAGAGTAAGACTTGTTCATCATAAAAATAAACCAAAAGTTTTTTTTAAAAAAAAACATGCAGTAGAAGCATATTCAAATTTCTATTATGTAAACATGTAAGGATCTTTTCCTCTACTAAGATATCAAACAATTGGTAATGATGATCATCACTTTTGTTATTAAGAGTGTCAAGGTTTAATATCCGAGCCTAGAAAGGGATAAAGAGAAAATGAGAGTCCTTTCAATAAAAGAAATGCTTGCTCTTAAATTGCAAAGCATTCAGTATGAACTCCCAAACCCATCTGCATGGCCATAGCTGCAAAATGGAGATACTGTATCTATCTGCTGTATTGCAAAATAACTGGTGTATTTCGCATGGCATACAGAGAGTGTCCTCTACATTTGCTATTCCTGTGAAACCAGAGAGGAACACTTCTGAAGTAAAATTTCTAACTGAAGTCTTGAGTTAACTTTAAACACAATTTGGTCATTTTAAAAAGGAAAGACAATGAACAAAAAAAACATATCATTTGATTTGTAAATGGAACTTCAAACTGTAGTATTCTTCAGAAAGACTGTATTTGAGATAAAAAGAACCACATCTAAGATTAAAAAAAAAAAAAAAACAAAAAAATCAAAAAACACACACAAAAAAAACCAAAACAAAAAACACACACCAAAGGAACAAACACAGGGCAAGATGTTGAAATGGTTTTGACTACACTGTAATGAAAAACACCATTCACGAGACAAACAGGAGATTTCACAGTCTTTAACATGAGGAGTCATTTAAATAACCTTTACATATGAACAGAATGACACAACAAACTATACGCCAGCATAAAAAAATAATTTCTTCCAACTTCAAAAGAATGAGTTTCTCAAGTCAGTAACCTTCAACGTTTCCTCAAAGATATAAGCAACATATTAGAAATGTATGTAAGAAGAATTTTTCAGAAAACTAAGAGCACAAGGTATACTGAATGGAAAAAAGTATATAACTATGTGATACTTGCAAATTAGACAAAGACATCACACACTAAAAGAAGAAAGTCAGAACAGAGTAATGGCTTCAGAACAAGAATTGCAACTTTGCCCTCACACCAGTACACAGCAACTAAGAAAAAAGCTTTTACATAAAAGGCTACTCATGGAAAGAATAATGGGATAGTGCAAGATCAAAACTAATAGCAAATAAAAACAATCAAAACAAAAAACACTCCAAACAGCTTTTGATGAGTAGTTAAAAACATCTCTCTCCCTTAAGCAAAATACGGTGAAAGCAAAAGAACTGTGTTTACTGGTGTGTTTTTCAGGACACCCAACTGCATAGAGAGCACACTGCACCGCCAGGTCTTAGGGGCAGGGGCTGCACTCGGGCTATGCACTTTCAGAGAACGTTAACTGAGGCTGTGCCTCAACTAGGATGTCAAGGAAAAGTCATAGTGGGTCAGCAGTGTGCAGAGAGTAAATACAAACAAGCAAGATGCTGCCAGGTCAACCTACCTCTTGTACGGAGCGAGCTGCTGGCTTGTCTTGATGATTGGCCAGTATTAAAAACGGCAAAGTACATAACTGTGGGTGCTGGAGAGCAGAATGCAGTTCATTCCTAGCAGTTTCTAGATCATCTTCAGAGGAGGCACTGTCTAATACAAATATTACCCCTTGGGATCCTTGGTAGTAACGACTCCAGTATTTCCTGATATTGTCAGCCCCTTTCAAGACAATAATAAAAACTAATCAAAACAAGCATAATTAAACAGATTTAAGCAGACTTAAGACAGAATTAAATAGACCCTCTTGCTTGGCACAATCAAAAAAAGGATTTTTTCGTTCCTTAATATACATTATTGAAAGAGTAAAAGGAAAATAATCAATTCTGGCACATACAGACATATAAAACCAACATTTTGGTAAGGGAAGAGTCTGATTGACAGTTACTCATCTCTGAAAGCTTCTGCTCCATTAAAGAGCACTGGGGAAATATTATGCTTCTAGTGTTATGTAGCCTAATTCTGTATCTTCTTACAGAAATATCCTGTTATTAATATATGTCATCCTTTGCCCACTCTCTTTTCCCTAGCCCTACAGCTCATTGCTGTAACTTGCCATTTCCATCATGTTGTTCCTTTCTGACCATGATCAGGTCTTTCAGTTCACCTCCAAAACACTACACAAAACACTCCATCATTGGAGAAAAGTATCAAAAATTCTACTCAAGCTGTAAATGCACATTTAACGAGGAGAACTGGGATGTGAGGTGAACAAGGAGATGCAGTGATAACTTGCATAGACACGGCAACTAATTTTGCTCTGGCAACCATGCTAAAGATTCTGGAAAAGTCCAACAGAGCAGACACATCAGTGACTGCACAGGTTTATGCATCACAGTGATATTTAGGACACAGTTCAGCAGCACTCAGCCAACTCAACACAAGCCAAGCAATAAGGTTATTGATGGAAAGCTTTGTCTCCTCTGGAGAGCAGCATATGTTAAAACACTGAGTTAGAAAAAAAAAATCCTACTTGACAGCTGTCAAACTACAGTATGATTTGGCTATTCTTTGTCTGAAAATGGTACTACACTCATGGGGACTAACATTAAAAAGTGAACAGCAGCAGCAAAACTCTAGCATAGGAAGTGATGTTTCTGTAATAAAGATAGTGATTTAAAAAAATGTGCTAAAAGTATCTTTTACATGTACTATTCTTATTTTGAGAAGGGGAGAAGTGAGACTAATGTAGACGCAGATACAAAGTACTGAAAATAAGTAAACTCCGTTTTTTAGTGAAAAAACAACTACCCACAAAAGCTCTGACCATGAGGCAGGCATGAAATGAGAATTTAATGCAACATGATTACAATATCATTGATAGAGTATTTAAAATATTAACTTAATTTGTGCATTGCGCAACAAAAAAAGGGACAGCCATTAAACAAAAGTAAGAAAATCTGTATTTGAGATAGAATTCATACCATATAATGTAAGCATCCAACTCAGAGTACTCACTCCATGGAGTTTCTTCTGTATACTAACTACAGTGAGACCTTACAGATTGAGTTCTTATCTTCTGTACCTAGCACAATTTAGGTGGTGAACGGAAGTTGTGAGTGTTCATTTAAAAATACATTTTCTTACAGAGAATACTAAAGATGGAACTGAATAGTATTTTTCTACAAGTGGCCTAAAAGAGAGTTGTTACTTAAAGGTAGATGATCAGGGCACTTAGACATGACCATGCTTAAACTTTCTACTAATTCAGCCAGACTGATAAAGTAACAATGCAAAAAGAGGTGATTTTATGTATTTTATCATCAGTTTATCAAGTTGAACATTGCTTAAACAGAAAAGGGGTTACAGTGGAACTGAACTGTACGTTGCCATACCACTCAAACTTCTACTAATTCTACTTGTAAAGAACTTCACAGCATCTATTAGACGCCTGTGGAAGAACTGTTTGAAAGTGGGAACTGAGAGGAAAACTAGGGCCTAACAGAAGTTTTGGCATTACAGAAGCTTGCTTGGGGTGATACACAGTTGCCACTTCCAGGATGGTTGGTACGCTCGGACTCTGCTCCTCCACGGTTCCCTGGGCAACGCAATCTGCCCTCCTCACAGCTGCAAAGGGGAGTAATGGAGCGCCTCCGAGGTACAACCACTCCTCACTGAGCATGCGCTCTAGATTATCGATTGACTGTACCTTTAAATGAAAGCGAGAAACTTTTTCACCAATCAATAACAATATTAAGTATGACTCTAGTCACTCAAGATCCACCTGAATGTAAAGAAAAGTTTAAAAGGTGAACTAAGGATGAAGAGGAGGAGGGAAGATTCCATCGTAAATTTTGGATCAGTCAATGTGCTGATCCCTCTTTCCTCCCCTCGGGCTGGGACGCTGCCTGAGGAGACTCGAGACTGAGAGCCCTCTCCCATCTTCTGGGGTGAGTGATGATTGCACATTTGTACATCAGAGCTAGCTAAAAACCCCACGCTCTAGTAGAGAATTTCCTGTACTGACATCCAAAACCTGCTTTGTAAATGTTGCATTTGAATAAATCATACTGTTTGTGAACTCGGCTACTTGTTTGGGGGGAGGCGATCGGACCTACAGTTGACGGACTGTTCGTGAATCCGATGATACTGCCAGAGTCGAACTTATAGTTGATCACACTTTGGGAACTCGATTCGCTCCTAGGAAGGCGATCGGACCTACGGTCCACAGACTATTTGTGAATCTGATACTGATTTGATATCTCCTTCCCCCCTCCACCACCACTATGGCTTTCAAACTGCAACATTTCAGCCAGACTGATAAAGTAACAATGCAAAAAGAGGTGATTTTATTTATTTTATCATCAGTTTATCAAGTTGAACATTACTTAAACAGAAAAGGGGTTACAGTGGAACTGAACTGTACATTGCCATACCACCAAAACTTCTACTAATTCTACTTGTAAAGAACTTCATAGCATCTATTAGATGCCCTATTCTTTCCAGCTCTATGTCAGTCTCAATATAACAAGTTGCTATAGGAATTTTCAGCTGCCTACAGATATTATTTGCATGGCCATACACAACAATATCACAGCCACAGAATCCAAGTTATGACATTACTTCAGCACTGGTAGAGAATCCTTCTTCATTTACAGAAAAGCTAACACCACAATCAATTCTCTGAAAGTCTTTTCTTCTTTGCTAGCAATACAACATCCATCTTATCTACTTGAAGCTCCAGCCAGCTACTTTTCAACCATATGTTCTTGCTTGAGCCTCAGAAATCTTATCTCTGTAACAATACCGATGATTTCTAAGAGAAAAACTGTCTGAACTGTAGAGTGCTTGACCTCTTCTGTCCAGGTACCCAGGACAAGGCAGCACAGGATCCTTAAATGAGACACTGGAGCCAGGAAAGCAGCGTGTTCAATTTTTGAGCCTATGGTCTTTTTGGTTATTACAACCTGTGGTTTAAGAATAAAAAACTTGGACTAAGCAGACAAGAAAGAAGATTGGGAATGTCTGTACCTCAGGGTGCCATTTTAACTCATGTTTCTGGCAAATGCACTTGAAAAAGAATTCCTGGCATCAATAAGCTATCGACAAGTGGAAATCACAATTTCTACAAGACAAATAATCTTACATTCTTTGGGCTTAACTCTTTATACAGGGAACATAATCCAACCCCAACTTCTTTCTACAAGGCATTACGTAGTACGTGTTAGTGCTACTCAGGACAACGGCCTGTGAATAACGATCCAGCAGTTGAACTTCTTGACAGGACAAATGCAGTCTTACAGAACAAAAAGTTGTTTTCAAAGGTGTACTTTAGCACAAACTATCCCATGAATTAATGGGTTCCCCTTTTCCAAAGATTTTTAAGATAAATAATTTGAAAGTATGAGTCTTCTACCAATCCTGATTCCACATGTGCCTATGAGCCAGCAACTTAGTTGGTACCCAAAATGTCCTATCAAAAAATATTAATATACACTATAAGCATTTAGTTTTGTCAGCCTAATGCATGACTCTAATAACTTTGCAGGTTCATTTCTATTTTCAGTTTTGATCTAATTTGCACATAAACTAAATTACAAAGTTTGTGCAAAAACTCAAAAACATCACAAAAGCTTGACAACAATTCACATGAGATTTAAGGAATGTGGTATGTGGAAGGTTTGCTAAAATATGGCATTTAATATAATAGTTTTCTCAGAGACAAGCAAGAGGCATGACTCATGCCCAGGCATACAATTTGTTTCCCTCATCTATGAAATCATGAGTGCCAAAACTCCTGTGATGTGATTAGAACATTCTATTTACATATAAATTTAAATGAAACACAGTCCTGCTACTTATAGAGAAGCAAAGATAGTATTTAGTCAAACACATTTGAATTACTTTATAAAAGGAGAAGAAATAACCTTTATTCTAAGAAAGAAACTAAAGGGGTAGTATAATTCAAAAGGATACTTATTCAGCATTATTATGAGACAGGAATCTGTCAACTAATTGTTCAAAATTAACAAAAATCCATTTTCATATTTAATTTTGGAAATATCAAATTAATATTTTTTGTTAACCAAGAGTACAGTGTGTCCATATTCACCACAGTTTATGATTTTTTTAATCACTGCCAATAGTATCCTTTCAAATATCACTTGAAAGCTAGAGGGAAGAGTTTATGTAAATTATGTGTCGTTTAATACGTATCCAAAACAGGTTGCACAATTGTTCACTCCAATAAATATTATATGAAACGCACAGCTGCAAATCTTCCTTTTAACTATTAAGCTTCTCTCTAAATCTTCATTCAGGGCTGTTTTTTTTCTTCCTTTTCAATAATTCCAGCAGAACCAAGCATAGCATTACAGAAAAATTTCATTTGATATGACTTTAAAGATGTCCAATTTGTTACTTGTCACACTTAAATCTCTATCAGGAGGACAAAGAATGTCACACACCTCCTGCTTCAAGATAGTCTAGCCTGTGTATGCTCTTATTCACCTCAAAATAGTCTGAAGGATTCACATCACAGCTGTGGAGAAGTTATGTTCCCAATCCAGGGAAGACCTTTATTTTTTTTCCTCCACATCAAAAACACTTAACCTGGGGCCACAATAGAAAGCAAGTTGCAACCAGTTTTGCTACAATGTCAAATATAGTGTCAAGTCACATGAGATAAGTACACCTACCTATTTTGAAGGCTAGGTAGTTGA